CTTTATGGTCTCCATGAAGGAGCCCTCGAGCCATGTAACATTGGGCATTTTGCCCACCATGGCTCCGCCGCATTCCGCTTGTTGGCCGCCAACCACCTTCGGCTTGATATTGAAGGTCTTCAGCCACAGGCCGAAGTGGGGCCGGGTGCGGAGGAAAGCCTCGCACACGACGATGAACGACGAGATGTTGAGGATAAAATTCGGGGCCAAATCATGAAAGTCCAGCCCATAATAGAACATAAGGCCGCGGACGAATGGATGGAGGGGAAACCCCACCAGCCTGGTAAAACTCGCTTATCCCCCAAGCGCCGTAATTGATGGCGCGGTTGGGTTACCCACGTCCGTATTGATGGGAATCCCGTAATAAGGGGACACGATCTCTGCTTCGACAAGACGTGCCAAGGAACCGCCTCGCGAAACATGCTGAGATAGGTTATGAAAATCGATTTGAATAAAGACCTGGCTGTGGTGTGATGCCACGCTACGGGGTACGTCGGCAGATCAGATTTGTGGAAATATTATTCTCTCTACGGTGGTATGTGGAACTTGTTTTGTAGAGCCGGACACGATCCTCGTGTTCAAAATCTTCTATGAAGTATTCGGAGGAGGAACCCGCCTTGCAATGCCGAAGACAATCTACGCGCCGGACTCGTCATCATTGAAGCCTAGTTCAGGGGCTACTGAGGGAGTCCTGGATTAGGGGGTATCCGGACAGCCGGACTATATCCTTTGGCCGGACTGTTGGACTATGAAGATACAAGATTGAAGACTTCATCCCGTGTCCGGATGGGACTCTCCTTGGAGTGGAAGGCAAGCTTGGCAATACGGATATGTAGATCTCCTTCCTTGTAACCGACTCTGTGTAACCCTAGCCCCCTCCGGTGTCTATATAAACCGGAGGGTTTTACTCCGTAGGACAACATACAATCATACCATAGGCTAGCTTCTAGGGTTTAGCCTCTCTGATCTCCTGGTAGATCTACTCTTGTACTACTCATATTATCAAGAACAATCAAACAGGACGTAGGGTTTTACCTCCATCAAGAAGGCCCGAACCTGGGTAAAACATCGTGTCCCCTACCTCCCGTTACCATCCGCCTTAGACGCACAGTTCGGGACCCCATACCCGAGATCCGCCGGTTTTGACACCGACACTCGGCCTCAGCTGGATCAAGAGTTCGAGGGATGTCAACAAGCTGAACGTGTGCAGATCGCGAAGGTGTCGTGCGTTCGGTACTTGATCGGTTGGATCGCGAAGACGTTCGACTACATCAACCGCGTTACTAAACGCTTCCGCTTTCGGTCTACGAGGGTATGTGGACACACTCTCCCCACTCGTTGCTATGCTTCTCCTAGGTAGATCTTGCGTGATCGTAGGAATTTTTTTGAAATACTACGTTCCCCAACAGTCCATTAGTCACTCCAAAAGGCATCACAAGAAATTCATATAGGCCCAGGTGTGTGTTGAAAGCAGTTTTCTCAATGTCTTCTACCTTCATTCTGATTTGATGATATCCACTCCTGAGGTCAATCTTGGTGAATACTGTTGCTCCATGTAGTTCATCAAGGAGATCCTCAATCATAGGGATGGGATATTTGTTTTTAATAGTATAAGCATTCAGTTTCCTGTAGTCCACACACAGTCTCCAAGTTAGATCCTTTTTCTTGACTAAGATTGCAGGAAAAGAATAAGGACTGCTACTTAATCTAATTATTCCTTTGTGAATGAGGTCTTTTATGATTTGTTCCATTGCATCCTTCTGATGAGGTGGCATTTTGTAACATCTTTGATTTATGACAGGAGCCAAGCTGATTGCATGATCACAAGGTCTCTTAGGAGGCAGGCCTGCAAGCTCTTGGAAAACATCCTGAAAATCAGTGAGCAGTTTAGATATTTCAGATGTATGTTCTCCTATTAGTTCACTGTCCATTGTGACAGGTTGCATCCACAGTAAAGCTCCAGATAACATGTCATCTAGGAGGTGGTCCATCTCTTGTAGAGTGCGAGAACAGGGTTTTGTGGGCAAACTTTCATCAATGAAAGTGGTCAATTGTCCCTTGTCATCTTTGATTGTCAGTGTAATGTTTGGGAGATCAAAAGTGACAGGGTTGTGCTTGTACATCCAATCAGCTCCTAATATTATATCATATCCAGTGAGCTTAAGCACTCTGAAATCAGAGCAGAAGGATTTTCCTTGGATGTTATAATTTTCCTGGATGCAGGAAAAATCACTGAGTAGTGTTCGTCCATTTTTGCCACAGTGACCTTTACTTGTTTTGCTGGTGTCAGTTCACACCCAGATCTTATAGCTAGCAAAGGAGATAGAAAAGTAGTTGTACTTCCACTGTCAACAAGTGATAGGGCCATAGTTGATCCAATTTGGACTTGTAGTGTGAAGGTATGTTTGGGTTGTTCCTCAGGTGTACCATTTGCAGCATGCATGGATATTTTCAATTGTTGTGAGTCTGTGTTGTCCTCTTCAGTGTCAGACTGTTCTTCCTCTGCATCAACAATGTATATGACATCAGGGTTTACTGGATTTTTGCTCTCGTAGTGCTTGAATCTGAGCTTTCTGTGACATTTTGCATACTTGTTTGTGTCCAAGAAACCGGGGATCTCTACACTTGTAGCAAATTCCCTTTTCTCTAGCTTGTTGGATAATATTAGCTACAGGGGTTACAAGAGGAGCTGGTGTTTTACTAATTTCAGCAGTGTTCTGTCTCTTGTAATAGGTTGCGGAATTCTTGTAGTTGGTAGGGGTGGGACATGATTTTTCTATCCTCCTTGCAATCCACATTTCCCTTTGCGTATTATCAGGCTGGTGACATTCCAGGTGACTCTGAATGTAGGGGTTTAACCCTGAGATGAAAATGTGCATGTAGTAGCTGTCTGGCACTGCAGGATTGTCTCTTCTCATGAGGTTCATGTTTTGCTCAAAAGCAGTAATGTATTGTGCCACGGTGCTGGTTTGAGTAAGGCTGTGAAAAGCTTTAACATTTTCACAGACAGAAGTTACTACAAACATGTCTGTCAGGTGGAAGCAAAACCTGTGCCAGGGCATGTTTGCTACCAGAAAACCTGTCCCTCTCCATCACTGTATTGCTTCTCCTTTCAAGTAAGATACAACAATTTCAGTTCTTTACTCCAAAGGAGTTCCGGAAGCTTCTAAGAATTGCTCTATGTTCTGTATCCAAGAGTCTGCATCAGTGTCTTCAAATTTAGAGATGTTGAGTTTGGCAGGTTTGACACTTAATATGTTCCTTCACACATCATTATGCAAGGGTCATGCTCTTTGTGTCTCCTGGCGATGGCCTTCTTCCTGGATCTGTTCTACTGCTTGAATTGCTCCCTGGTTTGCTCCAATATTACTCTGAGGTGTGACCATTTCCACTTTGTTTGCTGAATGATTTGGATGTCTGTAAGGCCTTTTAGGTGTGCCATCCAAATTCAGTTCTTTTCCTGTTGCCTTGTTAGTGAGTACAGCAGATCCAGGTACTGTCACTCCTGTTCGTTCACCCTGGTTTGAAGCTGACAGTTGCTTGGGGCGGCCAGGAGGTATAGTACTCCCACAGCTGACTGAGGACTTGGATCTTCTTCCTCTTCCTCTGTTTTATCCTCTTCTGTTAATTTTCGCAGGCTCGCATGTATCTTCTTGAAGTTCCTGTCGATGCTGGCAAAATTCCTGTTGATAGTTTTAGTAAAGTCATAAAATTCCTTCTTATTGTCCTCTCTATTTTGTCTCGGGGCCTTGATGTCCAACTGCAGAGATTCTAATTCCAGAGATGCAGTGTCTCGTCCTCCTTCGCCATCGGGTCCAGGGGCGGATTGATCATTCAGGAGTTGAGTATTTGGCCGGAGCTGCTACTAGGCTGTGGAGGGAGGGATTCTACTCCGGTGTTCCGGAAACCTGATCTCGAGCCCCGAATTCTCTCGCCGCTGCTGCCACGAACGTCGTCCGCCACCGGGGAAAGAAGCACTGAAGGGAGGGTTGGGTGGGATTTGACACTGAAGAAAGGTTCTTCAGAAACCACTAACCGGTCCGATCCTGCTTCCGAGCTATCTACCGCCGCTGTCTCCTCCCTGCTTCGCGCCGCCGCCCAGCCTTCTCCAGATCCGATCTGGAGTCCGCTAAACGCCGCCTCCGAGGATTAAACCTTGCTCTGTATATCAATTGCCAGGACCGAACTAGAGACGGTCGCTAAAATTTAGAAAACAGGGGGGAAATCACTCAATTTGGTGGCGAATTGGGGGAATCGATTGCGGTGGATCTGAGCCACAAAACTAGGGTTCGCCAGTCGGAACACGGCGGCTTTAGGGGCCAAGCCCAATTACATCCAGAATGCCCTCTCCACAAGCCGGAGGAGGGTTTAAAAAAGGTTAGCAGGTGAAAAGCGAGATAGTGACAGGTTCAGTCATTACAGAGCTGAGGTAAAGTTCAAAAGAGAGGTTACAACCACTGGAATCGCTCATCTTGAGATCTACGGTTGAGCGCGAAGCGTTACGCCCACCGGCATCGTAGGATCGCAGATCGACAGTTGCTATGCTCTTGGGCAAACCCGCCGGCATCGTAGGATCGCAGATCGACAGTCGCTATGCTCTTGGGCAAACAAAACAGTACTGCTATGATTCTAACTGTTGTCGCTGGTATTCCTGTCCTGACACTTCGCCAGAACGCTCGCCCTGCCGGGGCAGTGCGACCTGCCGACCATCCATGGCGGCCCCTACTGCTTCTTCCCATGATCGCTAGCTTGTTCATGAAAACATCGTGTGAGTGAATAAGCAGCATGGCACATCCGTTGATGGCTGTTATGCTGACATAGTGACATGCGTAAGTGCGCGATAAAGAGAATAAAAAAAATACTTGACCAAGAACAGCACAATTTGAAAATTTAAGCTTATCAATCCTCGACAACAGCGATTCGATCACTGCCGACCGTACCATCCTCACTCATATACAGCCAGGGTTCTTCTCTTCAGAAACAAACTAACATTTCCCGACCTAGCTACTACTAATCCCCGAGAACTGTCTACAAGCGAGGTCGATCTCTTCCTCCGTCATCTCAATTGTATCATCGCTGTCATACTCAGCGTCGTCCGTCCCAGCCTTCCCGGGGCGCTCCTTGCCCTTCTTGTCACCACCGTCCATGTGCGCAAGCTCGGCCTGGTAGATTTTCTTGCATTTGGTTGCTAGTTTGGCCAGCTGCTCTTTAGACAGCGATGAGCCCTCTCTGTCCAGCCGCACTAGCTCGTCCACAACATGGGGGACGAAGCTCCACTGCTCCGCCACTCCGCTGATATCCTACAAAAAAGTAGATCATGATCATTGGTCAGCCACCCGAGAGTATACCGCATTTCCAATGAGAAACACAACAGATCTTCGTAAACATGTTTGGTACACTGGGTTTCACTGCTGGAAACATAATCACAAATTAACAATAAGTCAATGGCAATTTGACCCAGATCAACAATTGCCCTCTAGGCAAGCATCATTTTAATGTGTTCAGGTTACTTAAGGCTGGTACCTCAGTCCGCATGTGTACTAATACAAATCACCAAGATATTGAGTAGTACATTCTTTCTTTGTTGATGATACTTGGAAGTAATAGAAAAGTAACTCGAAAGACCTGCATATATCTAAATAATGAGTGGTGTGCATTCCTTACATTGCCTTGCTCAAGGGATTCAATGGCATCCTGAAGACAAGTGATAACCCCTTCAGCAGCTATTGCCTTTAATTCGTTTGGCTCTGGCTGCAAGACAAGAAGCCAGGCAAGTCAATATAACAGCAATCATCATTCCCATTGCATTAACATATCTAGGACAAGTCGACCAAATAGTAAACAAAACTGTCTGCTGCTCTACAATTTGCTAGCAACAGTGATGCATCACCATTGTTTAGTTGTTCGTTCCATCATGACAGATAATATGCATTGCATTTTGTTATATTAGCCTAAGAAAATGCTAATCTCATTTACATTAGGTAAAATGGAAAAGTCTGATCAATTCGTGCAGATCATCTCTATGGTAGCCATACATTGATTGTAAAAGTACTTTATTACATACCAAACCTGAGGCTGAAATATTATTAAACAAAAAACTAAGACCATAAGGAGGCTTGAAAGTTGAAATATAATTTCATCACCATCACCTGATCATTTTATTATCCCCACAATTGCTCACCTTCTCTTCTTGGCTCTCCAACCAAGATATTGTCTTTGCAAAATCATCCATTGCCCATTGTTTAATTTTTGAAGGCGAAAATTGTTTGTTTATAGCATCTGAACGTCCTGCCTGTAGAAAAGAGACTATTATGAGGTCCTGTAGAAAGGAAGCATATTGAGATGCTTCTGGGACAAGTATTGCCTGTGTGTTGTTCCATTCATGAAAATCTAAACATAGACTGTGTTATAATTTAGATGTCATTACCTATTTAATGCCTCTGAGAAGTCATTTGTTTTCAAGGAACATATTTTTTTTTTGTGAGTGGTTTTCAAGAAACATCAATATCATCCCACAGTACATTATATTTTATCAAATGCATCTTAGCATATGCAGGTTGGAAGTTACTATCAACTATGGTCAGTTTATTCTGATGGTCAGTCTGGAACCTGGATCACGTACAACCTACCTTCGTTCCCTTGAAATTTTATGTGTTAATATCCTCCACCAGATATAGAAGATTGGAGGGGTTGCTCAAAAGCACATTCGTTTTAACTAATCTGAACAGTGGGAAATCCAATTAAAACATGTGCTTACACACTCTTCTCTCTTGCCGGGCCTCATTGCTTTTGCTTTGTTTCTTGCTTCCTTGTGGAAACATCCAAGTTCAGGTAAGATAAACCTACCAGCTAATAGTTACTACAGAGAAGAAATTGTTTATATGGCATATTAAACAGGCTTCTGGCAAAGCATGGTTCTTGACTGTTCACTAATTTATTTTGAACAGACCTTAGTGGCAGCAGAGGGCGGTGTCTTAGCATGAGTCTTCTCAGGTTGCTTTTCATGCTCTTTACGTGGCTTCTTCTGATCTACAACATGATGATAAAACAAAATTAAACAAATAGAACTTTATATTTAATTGGCTACTTCAAATTCAAAAGTACACAAGGAAAAAGTAGTAAAGTAACAGAGCTGCAAATATCATTTAAATTTTATAAATTAGTTAATGGGCATCAAATGGTTCTTTATTAAGCTTACCGAAACTAAATCCTAGTTCTTCCATTACCATAACCAAGTCTACAGCGATGTTTGGCATGTGTTACTAACTGAGCATCACTAAATTACTCCCATCAGTGGGAGTATGGGACAAAGTGTAGTTGCTCCCTCTTCCCATGGGGAGGGTAGCCCGAACCCATAACCAGGGAAATTACAAAAAACTAAGTTTTAGAAAGCACCTTCTTGAGCTATCTGAAAAGTGATAAAATGGTATCACACTGACATAGTCCACAGGCAAAGGATAAAAGTTCAAAGATCGAACTTTTTCACGTTAATTTGCATATTGTCTAAATCACAAAGAAGTTATAGGGCAGAACCCAAATATGCCACATTGGTAAGAGAAAAACAATAATATGGTCTTAAGAGCACCTAATGAAAGAAATAAGCTCAAATAAACTATGTTGATAAAACTTTATCTTGGATGAAAGAATTTACCACCTTGACTGGAATCAACTGGCACTTTATTTTTGCGCCATGGATTTCCAGCATGCATAAGGTAAGGCTCAATATCAACGAGTTTTCTTTGGCTGTGAGATTCTGAGATCCATTCCTAGAACAAGTAAAAATGATAAGAAACTATCGTGTTGCTCCAGGAAAACCAAATCCAACTTATCTAATGTTAAGATGTATGACAAAGTAAGCTGGACTAAGGTTTCTGTTTATCCATATCGAGGCTAACTTTTTAAGTGTACCTATGAGCAGAGTACTAAGCTTGTTTGATATGCAGCTAATCTTGTCATAAATTTAATTGCTTAATTAGCATGGACAAGGCAATAGATATGGCTTGAAGAGAACCGAGGAGCCCAGTGTCTCCATGGAACTATTGAGAGAGCTAGTCTTCTTGTGGCACATAGTTGCTCTCAGACCATCGAAGACGTAGAAACATATAGTGCATGATGACATAGCTATATTAAGCATGGATCACTGGAGTGCAGATGAAACAGTACACATTCTGTATGTGACTCTTTCCTTTCTTTGCATTCCGAATGACATTTTGGTCAGTATGTTGCAGAAATAAGGGTATCTGAATCTATCAGTTGAATGCTTACAACAGCACGAATATGAAATCATGAACACATGCCATCATCAATTAGAAAGATTCATAACAGAGAAGCGAATAGCAAATGCCAAGGGGCTATGGACTACCTACTTTAATCTGTAAAATCAATCACATTATGCACGAATGAAGGGATGTCAAGTCAACCATAAACAAAACACTATAAGTCAAGTATTTCTCCCTTGATGATAAAGAATCTTTGAAGAAAAAACTAGCTACAATGATCACAACTAAAAGGAAAAAGAACCTTAGCGACGATGGTTCCATTCTCCGACTGGACTTGCCGAAACTTGGGGGTGTTGGCAAACGCGCAGACAAGAAGCGTGCAATCATCAGACCAATCGGGCCGGTACACCGCCCCCATATCCAGCGCCTGGGAGCGCAGCCTGCCCCTCTCGGGGTTCACGAACCCTGACAGCACAAAGACCACACCATCCTGCCCAACAAAACGCACGGAGTCATCGCCGCATCCAGCAATCCACACAGATCAACACGCATCCCATTGTATGCAGAGGGGGCTCCGGACAAGCACCAAGAGTTTGGAGAAATCCGGCCCTGCTTGAGCCCTCTTGTGGGTCTCCTCCGCGTGATTCTTCTTGCCTGGACTTCCCCCGCCTCCGCCTCCGCCGCCGCCGCCGTCGCCGGAGCCCATCCAGGAGGGTAGGCTCCTCTTGCCCTTGCCATTGCCCGGATCCGAGCTCGATCCCGGCATTACGGCGTGGATACGGAACCTGTCCCAGAACCACCCGGGTCAGAAAGGCTGGATCAACGGATTCCGGGCCGAATCGGCAGATTCAAATCGAGGTTTCGGGAGGTTGATACCTGAGATTTGGGCTACTGACGCCACGCCCTGATTCCCCCGAGCTCGCCGTCCACCATGGAGAGTTCCCTGCGAGTTTCGATTTGACTAGCCAAGACGAAGGGCTTCTCGAGGTCACAAGAAAAAAAAAAGAGAATACGGGCCGATCGAGCCTCCGTGACCCGTCTGGCCCAGGGTATTTTTGGGCCAGAAGAACTGAGCCATAAAGTTGGTAGATGTGTTTTTTTCTATTCCCTCAAAAAAATGTGTTCTTTTCTAAGAAAGTATAGTTTTCCCCCAAATCACCCCTCGCGGATCAATATCCCCCTCAACTTTCATACCTGATAAATCACCCCCTCAAATGTCTAAAACCGGATCAATTACCCCCCTAAGGTGTTTTGGACAGAATTTTGGGTGGTTTTCACCCATCCCATGCTGACTGGACTCGCTGAGTTGGCAAAGTGAAATTGAGGTGGTTTCTTAGAAGTGTGCGGATCAATCAGGTGTAGTTCGCCCTTTCTTGTCGGCTGCCCCTCTCATCCCCTCGAGTACACCGGTGTTGCCGCCTACCATCGCTAGTGGCGTCGACTACGCTGTCAGCAGTGCTCGCCGCCAGCATGACAGGAGAGGAGCCCCCTGATTCCTTCCTCTGCTCCTTTGTCATGGCAGGAGGCGCAGGTCATCGGAGAAGGTCTAGGGTTTTTGCAAAAACCGCTGCCCATGGCATCGGTTTTGGTTGCCATGGCAAGATTTTTGCGGTCTATTGTGTGTGAATGGTTGCCATGGTAGCCATTTTGTGTGGCATGGGAGCCTAAATCAGGCAAGTTCTAGCAAAACTGATGAATTTTTGTAGTTATTATTAGTTGTATTCAGAAGATATGTATAATATTGAAAGAGGTCAATGCAAAGGGAATTTCAGTTACAAATTGCATTGGCTTGCTCCAGGAAAAACACTGACTGATTGGTTGCTGTTTTTACGTGATGATGCAACAGTTCAGAACATGGACAATGCAACACCTCTTGGGGAATATGCAGAGATCTTTGTGGAGAAAGTGTTGATGCATAATTCAGATATGGCAATTTTGTGAAGAAGAGATGATGGATTTGGATAACACTCATATGGTGCCAGTTGTAGTTGATGAAACCTATTGCACTCATAGAGGTATCAAGTTTTCTCCGATCAATGTGAAGGCTATGGACACAGAACAGGTGGATGAAATGATGTTAGAGGAGTATGCCATTGTTGCATAACAAAAACATGTTGAGGCAGAAAAAGGTGCTGAAATGCAAGTGTCAGATGTTGTGGAACGGTTTAAACAAACTTCTGCATATGAAGAAAATCTTAGGATCATACAAAATACTCAAACCTCTATAAGTAAGTATGAAAGTCGTGTGAAGATTAAAAAAGGTAGACCCACTAAACTACTACAAGAAGAAGGGAAAACCAGTTGAGATATCTGAATGAGAAACTTACAACACCAGTTCCTGTCTCACATGCTAAAAAAGCAACACCAGTAGCTGCACATGCTCTCCCGGAACATCAACACAAGCAACTACAACAGCTGAAACATCAACAACAACACCAGGTCCTGCCAGAATAGCAGTACAAAAATTATTTAACTTTACGAGTTTCATACCAAAATTCAGTACTATAGATCTTCATTTCATAATAACTGACAAAAACAGTGAGCAACTCTGGAAACATCATTACACATTCACTTCACAACATATCACTTCAGTTCAACATAACATGAAACATGAAACATATGTTTTTCTCATACACCTAATGTTCATCAGTCACATCTTGTACACAACATAAAACATCACAGAGACAATGCAACAAAAGATAGCAAACTTGTACTTTAATTTGCTTCTCTCAAATTCCTTCTAAAAAGACATCCATTTCTTCAAAATGTATGGCCTTTAGATACATGACATAAACATCAACATCTATAATGTTGCACTTGGCCTCCATCAGAGATTGCTCCAACTGTGCATTATTGGGCTTTAGTTTCCTAACATCTATCAGGTGGTTAAGAACATCGCTCAGGTCACCTAGTAGCCTATTGACGAACTTATCAAGGTGGTCGTCATGCCACTTGAAGAACCGCTGGTCCACACCCTAGTCGACGAAAAAGAAGTCCAGCCACATGACCAATTGAAGAACTCAATCAGGAACATATTTTTTCAGCTCCACAAACCAGAAAATTGCTACAGTTGTAGTACCGTTGACCAGGATTATTCGGTATTAGAGTGGAGGGTGAAATTGAGCGGGTGGGGGTGAAATTGATCAGGTTGCTTTCTGCGAAAGTATTAAACCACCAGGTACTTATTTGAAACGTTCCAAAATAAAAAAAATACGCACAAAACCCCCTCCTCCCTCGCCTCCCCATCTCTCCTACCACCCCGCTTCGCTCCTCCACCGAGCTCGCGCGATCCGGCTCGCCCCCTCGCCGCCTCGCCGCGCAGCGCCGCGAGGAGCCACCGCCCCCGCCGACGCGGATCTCCGGTGCTCGGCCCGTCCCCGCCGCCCGATCGCCCCGCCGTCCGCCGCGCCGTCGCCGCCATGGTACGCGGATCTGAGCTCTTGCCCCCGCCCCTCCCGAATCTGTCTCCAGTTCGTTTTGCCGCAATTTTCGTGCTGCGCGCGCCGGGATCTGACCAGTGCTGTTGCCCTCTGCTTGTTGTTTCTGCAGCCGCTCAGGTTGGAGATCAAGGTGCGCCCCCGCTCGACCCCGTGCTGGATCTCGGTCCCGCTGTTCTGTTTTGGTTGCTGGTGTTGCTGTTGTTGTTCGCGTCGCGTGGGTTAGTTAGTTGGGCTTGGCCGGGAGCTGATTTGGTGTTCGTTTTTGTTTGTGTGATCAGAGGAAGTTCGCGCAGCGGTCCGAGAGGGTCAAGTCGGTGGATCTGCACCCCACGGAGCCATGGCAAGTGCTCGCGTTTTCCTGCTGTTCAGTACATTTCGGTCGCATTTGCACTGTCGGTGCTTGTCCTGTGATGTGCTACGGTTGATAACTTGGTTTTATGGTTTTTGCAATGGTGCAGGATCCTGGCGAGTTTGTACTCGGGGACTCTCTGCATCTGGGACTACCAGACGCAGGCAAGGCACTTGAGCTGTTTTTATCTTCAGTTTTGTTCCTGCTGTATGATGTTGAATCTCTTGAAGTAACTGTTAGGTACTTCAGTTCGTACTCATAACAATCGATCAAGTGCCAACACTACAGCTAAAAAAGTCAGACAAAGTACTCACACATGAATATAACATGATTAAGGCCTAATTGTTTCAACCCCTGAGGCTAGAGCTTGATTTCTGATGTATTTTCTGCTGTTCATGATCTGTATCCTTGCTCATTGGCCAGTCATGGAGAATTTCCCATGGCGTAATATTGATTATGTGCGGTAAGCTTGCGACAAGTAGAAAGTGCTGTAAGTAGTAAGAACTTCACCACCCAAGTATCACTCTTGTTAGATACTACTGATACCCTCTCGGCTGACACATATAGCTCGTTTTAGGCTTGTCACTGTAATCAAGGAGCAACTTCAAACTGCCATCACACTCTTCTTGCTCCTAAGTGCTCTAATTAATGCAAATTATTCCATTTTTGCACAAAATGACTCGATCCTGAAATCGTGTTGATAGTTTAAACACCAATTACTGCTGAAACCCATGATGTAACGTATCTCCTCTTTTGGGGCCAAGTCTAGACTCCAGTGAGCATTACTGCATTGTTATTGTATTTTGAAAATATGAAATGGTGACATAAGTACGTCTTGTACTATTTCGTTATCTAGACTAGATTTAGTTGATCTATTTAGGATACATTAAGCCAAACTAATCTTCTTGAAATCATGTGTGGTGCCTTAGAATATATGCTAATTAGGTTTTAACAAGATGAATTATGCACATACAGTTTAGTACTCCCTCTGTCCCAAAATAAGTGTCGCTAATTAGGTTGTACTAAATCAGCGACACTTACTTTGGGACGGAGGGAATATGTCAAAAGCTTTGCCTGGCTCCTCTCCTCGTTTTTGTTGCTCAATATTATTTACAAATCTAATTCTTGACAAGTATATCTATGGAGTACTGCTGTATAAAAGTTTAAAAGCTGACTCCACAGAATTCGATTATTTAACATGTTTGTTTTTGTATATGTTGCAGACCATGGTGAAATCATTTGAAGTTTCAGAGCTGCCAGGTATACAACATACATATCTTCACATGTAAATAGAAGTTGTGCTGAAAGTGGAATCTGGAACCGACTTAACTGTATGATGTATATTTGAACATAATTTCAGTGCGGTCGGCAAAATTTGTGTCAAGGAAACAATGGGTTGTTGCCGGTGCAGATGATATGTTCATTCGTGTCTACAACTACAATACCATGGACAAAATTAAAGTTTTTGAGGCTCATACTGATTACATCAGATGTGTAGCAGTCCATCCAACTCTTCCATATATGCTGTCATCATCTGATGACATGTTGATAAAGCTTTGGGACTGGGACAAAGGGTGGATGTGCACTCAAATCTTTGAGGGGCATTCACACTATGTCATGCAGGTTACTTTCAATCCAAAGGATACTAACACTTTTGCAAGTGCATCTCTCGACCGCACTACAAAGGTCTGTTTCACACCCCCTCACATGCAGCGACATGTTAGTATGAGCCATGACTCATGATGTGGTCTTGTTCATTAATGCTTCTTAATCTGAAATGGCAGATATGGAGTTTGGGTTCTCCAGATCCAAATTTTACTCTAGATGGACATCAAAAGGGTGTGAACTGTGTTGATTACTTTACTGGTGGTGACAGACCCTATTTGATTACTGGTTCTGATGACTCCACTGCAAAGGTCTGTGTTTTGTACCCGCTGTAGTATTTTGAATCTTCAGATGTTGGTTCAATCCTAAGATGGATAATTATGATAAACCAGGTCTGGGATTACCAAACCAAGAGCTGTGTTCAGACTCTTGAAGGCCATACACACAACATTTCTGCTGTTTGTTTCCATCCTGAGCTTCCTATAATCATTACTGGATCGGAAGATGGGACAGTTCGTATATGGCATTCGACAACTTACAGGTTGCTTTCTTTTCTGCATCAATGTGTTAGTGCAAACTCTGGATCTATCTTTCTTAGTTCTCATGTTGGTCACTTTACTTCTTACCCAGAGAAAATTTGATTACTGAAGCATTTCTTTAAAGTTTGGTTTAGAGATCTCTTGACTGTTTCTCAACAACCAGAATGTTACTAAACAACAGGCTTGACTCCCCTATGCAGGCACAATAAACTTTTAAGGCCCATGAGCATGACATCAATAGGCTTTTAGCGTTTGTTTGTACTCTTCTATGTTCAAACCCGTGGAATCTTATTAGTTTGCATGATGTGCTAACTTAAAGGGGTTAACTGTTTTGCCATCTTCAACATTCTCATCCTAGCATTTGTATGAAAAAGATAACTGTCATCATCAGGGTAATAATGAATTGAATATATTAATCAGTTTGCTTATTTGATATTTTTTGTAATAGTTGGAAAATATGTCAGCCTCTGAGATAGCACATTACTTTTGTTTAATCCTACAAATTACACAAAGGTGAGAAGTTCTTAATTTTAGTTATTTTTTCACTTATTTTGTAGGCTTGAGAACACACTAAACTATGGCCTTGAGCGAGTCTGGGCTGTTGGATACATGAAGGGATCAAGAAGGTAATGAATGATCATCTGATTTCTAGTTTTCTACTTTGTTTAATTGTTGTCACCACCTATCCATTGGGCATTAGCTATCAAAATAATAATTTGCCATTAATTAGGAGGATTAAATTGTGGTATGTTTCTTCTATTTAGCGGATGTGTACTGGTGTTGTGTTTCATAAATTATTGTGAAGTTCTTGTTACAAGTTATTTATGCTTGCTTTTAAGACTACCCACAGTGGAAGTAACATAGGTAGTAACATCACACATATCTAGATAAAAATAGATGATGTGGCAAGCAATAAATGAAGAAAGAGAGGAAAGTGGTAACATAGCTAGTTACTAGTAGTATGAGTAACATCACACCAATGTTTTCGAGTCGATGAGTCGACGGGTCGCTCGGGGAGGGCGACTCTAGACTAGTCGTGACTAGTCTAGACTCACGGTCGACAAGTCGACATGGCGACGAGTCGACGTGAGTTAAGCAGCAGGCAGTCAGGGGAGGAGCACAAGTGCACAGCAGCAGCAGCAACCAGGGGAGGAGGGGAGGAGCACACCACCAGCAGCAGTAACCAGGGCCAACTGAGAGATGGGCCACTAGTTATGCACTTCCCTGTGGCCCAAAAGCCCATCTAGTAGCTATATACTCCTCCCGTGACCTAATCCACCATCCACACTCCCTCCTCCCTCACCACAGCCGCCACACATTCGCTGCCACTCTCTTGCCGCCAGTCCACCACTCCTCCTCCCAGCGATGGATCTCTCAACTCCCCCGCAGCAGCTCTCTTGCCACCGCTCCTCCTCCCAGCCCGCTCCTCTTGCCGCTTCAGCTTCAGCAGCAGCAGCAGCAGCGCGGCGGCAAGGGCGCAGCAGCAGCAGCGAGGCAGCATAGCAGCAGCATCAGCAGCACGGCGGCGGGAGAGTGCTCCAGATCCAGCGCTGCCTCGAGTCGTTCGACCCAAAAACCGCGACTAGTCGTGACTAGTCGAGACTAGTCGCGCGAGTCGCTCGACTCATCCCAGGAGTCGAGTCGGGAGGCTGAGTCGGCCCTGGAACTGCGACTCGAAATCCATGCATCACACATATCAAGGCAAGATGAGTCTATAGTCTAATAAATGAAGTGTTGAATGTTACCACACATATGTTACTAGTCTATGTTACTATCCATTGTGGCTAGTCTAACAAATGGAGTGTTGAATGTTACCACACATATGCATGTTACTAGTCTATGTTACTATCCATTGTGGCTAGCCTAACAGACCTTGCGATGCATAACGTTGTTGGTTAAGCATGCAATTTCACACTGACCAAACCTAGCATTGTCAACTGATGGTTATTTACTAATGTTTCTATGCCTTCTTGTTCTGTTCACTTGTATGTTTCTTCCAATATGCCTATATTTCTAGATGTTAAGTTTTCACATTCTTATTTCCGCAACTAGTTCCTCTTGTTTCTCATGCCCACACTTTTTGGGCCTGGTTGTTCTACTCCCTGTTCTCCAATCATGAAACTAATAATACCATTTGCTTATGATGTAGAATGGTGATTGGTTATGATGAGGGAACTATTATGATTAAAATGGGTCGTGAAGTACCAGTAGCAAGTATGGATGCCAGTGGAAAAATCATCTGGGCAAAGCATAATGAGATACAGACTGTGAATATAAAGACTGTCGGTGCAAACTTTGAGGTTAGTTTGCCTGTTCTGTACACAAAATTAATCAAATTGAGAAGTTTGGCTGATCGATTATTATGTTTGAAACCAGGCTACAGATGGGGAAAGATTGCCCCTAGCTGTGAAGGAGTTAGGCAGCTGTGATCTTTACCCGCAGGTACTTTTGGATGGTACAATGCTCTTCATATTTAGCACTCGTTAGTATTGTTACAGCATACCTAAGTATCTGAACTCCTGCATAAGCTGCTCATCCATGTCTTGATATGCATAACAGCAGCTGTCCATTTCTGTAGCTTGTAATGACTGTTGACAATTAAATGGATAAGCTTAAAAAAACATATGAATTGCTTACTGTAATAGGGGTTATAACTTGAGTATGTTCATTTTTTTATACATAACTATCAACTTTGCACACATAAAAATAAGCCTATAGAGTTGTTATTGGTGCACTGAAGAATACTACAAGCTTTAGTTTTCTATGAACATCATTCCCATTTATGCATCTTCTATATTCATAGATAAATTTGTAGCAAATCAGCACCTTGAGTTTTGTTCCTTGATATGATACTAAGTTAAAAGTTTTTATTTTCTTTTTTTAGTTAACATTTGTTGTTTCATATATCTTGATTATTATATCTAACTATGGTTTAATTTTTTGTTTGCTTAGAACTTGAAGCATAACCCCAACGGCCGGTTTGTTGTTGTATGCGGAGATGGTGAATACATAATCTATACTGCACTGGCTTGGAGGAACAGATCATTTGGATCCGCGTTAGAGTTCGCTTGGTCATCAGAAGGAGAGTACGCAATCAGAGAAAGTACATCCAGAATAAAGATTTTCAATAAATCATTCCAGGTGGGTGGTATACTATTATTTTTGGCCTTTTTACCAGCAACTTGTGCAAGATCGATGTTGCCTGTCCCATTTCTTCCAAGATCACTTTGGGGCTGTTTGTGTTTTTAGTGTGTGATGTTTATATACTGCTTTAATCAGTGAATATTTCTGTCAAACACTTATATTAATTCAGTTTAGAGTTTTATATCATGTACTTTGTTTTATACTAATACTTGTGGTCGTATATTGTCATATTTGGTGAAAGGAATTAGAGACAGTTGTAGGTTTACGGTTCAGTGTAGTTTAGTGTTGTGGTGTATTGTATCATATTGCAGTTCTTCAGCTCAAGGGAATGCTTTACTTATGTTCAAGTACTTAGCAATATTCATTGATCTAGAAATCATACAACTGTATGTTGAACTAATACATGACCTGGCATCTTTTATTTACCACGTTTGTATAAATTTTACGAACCGTTCTAATCCATATTATGAAAGCAATGCATCTCTTGACTTAAATGATCTGATTTCCAGGAGAAGAAAACTATCCGTCCTACATTCTCTGCAGAGCGTATCTTTGGTGGGGTACTTTTGGCAATGTGTTCCAGTGACTTTATTTGCTTTTATGACTGGGCTGATTGTAGACTAATTCGCAGAATTGATGTGACTGTCAAGGTGAGTTCAGTATATGTTATTGTAATTATGAATATGTGGAGTCCACATTTCAATAACCTGTTTTCAACTGTGCTTGTAGAACGTCTACTGGGCTGATAGTGGTGACCTAGTTGCAATCGCAAGTGATACATCATTCTACATCCTGAAGTACAATGTATGTTATTGCATTTACTAAATGTTCATCTATAATTTTTCCTTGGTCCATGGGTTTTGAATATGTTCTTACATAACATCTTTTTCTAGAACATACATGAAATTTCGTTTATGATTTTTGTCCCTGCAGAGAGATGTTGTTGCTGCCTACTTGGAAGGTGGAAAGCCTGCTGACGAGGAAGGCGCTGAAGATGCTTTTGAGTTGCTTCATGAGGTCAATGAGCGGGTGCGAACTGGGATTTGGGTTGGAGACTGTTTTATTTATAACAACTCATCATGGCGCCTAAATTATTGCGTTGGTGGAGAGGTAAAGATTGTTTGCTCTGAACAAACATTTTTTTTGGTTTTCACGTTCTCTATATGGATATTTTGTGTGATACAACTTTATTTCCTTACATAGTTACACACTCTATTTACAGGTCACCACAATGTATCACTTGGATCGCCCTATGTATTTGATGGGATATCTTGCGAATCAAAGTCGAGTTTATCTTATTGACAAGGAGTTTAAGTGCGTTTGCTTGAATATACCTCAGTTCTTATGTATCACCTGTTGTTGCTTTCTTGCTTTCTGTAACTAATACATTGGCTCCTTGCAGTGTCATTGGGTATACATTACTTCTCAGTTTGATTGAATACAAGACGCTTGTGATGCGTGGGGATTTGGAAAGTGCAAATGAGATCTTACCGTCCATACCAAAGACGCAATATAATAGGTTAGTGGCTGTCTTTGACACACAGGGATAGGTCCTGTTATTTTTTTGGGGGGTGGGGGTGGTGGGGGGTTACTCCGGCTTCTGAATAAACAAAAGCATTTTTGTTTAAAACAGTAACAAATCAAGATGGGTTCTTCAAATTTGTGCTCAGTTATGCTCCCATTTTGACCGTGTTTATGATGTCTGTCATATCTTGTAACTGTGATGCCATTTATCTCAATATCAAATCTGAAATATGCTCAGCTTGTAGGATCAGAAGTGTATGACGGCTTAATCCGTTATGTTCTAACTTAACTCTGGTCTCCCTTTTCATATGGCAGTGTTGCTCATTTCTTGGAGTCCAGAGGAATGTTGGAGGAGGCTCTTGAGATAGCCACTGATGCTGATTATAAGTTTGATTTGGCTGTGCAGCTTGGAAAATTAGAAATCGCGAAGGTACACAGCACATTGTCATGTGTTTTTTTCCTTCACAAGTTCACATCATAGAGAGCATGTAAGGTTCTATGCTGCTAAGTTTGGCTAAACTGGTCATCATTTGCGTGCAGGCTATTGCCGTAGAAGCACAAAGCGAATCAAAGTGGAAGCAGCTTGGTGAGCTCGCCATGTCCACCGGGAAGGTTGGTTCTTAAATGATTAAATCTTACGAAAGGTTGTTGATATGTGACTTCTAGAGTTAATGAATTATTGTTTACAAGTAGTTAAGTTTTCAGTGGGGTCTTATATTTTATTGTAAGCCTGAAATTCTAATTTTCTAACAATTTGTTCTGAATTGAAACATTTTATCTGGTTAAAATTCAGAAAAAAATCCAATCAAACATTCTTTTTGGAAAAAAAAATACCGTTTCAAGATTTTCCCTTGCGAAAATGTCTTCATCAGTATTGCAGTCATATGGTGGCCATTAATTTAAATCGACATATATAATTGACTAATTTTGTAAATTTGCATTTGTGTTAACTGTGCTAGCTCAGTGTTTTCAGTATTTCACAAATTACACATTGCAGCTTGAGGCATCAGAAGAGTGTCTTCTGCAAGCGAAGGACTTGAGTGGCTTGTTGCTACTATACTCATCTCTCGGAGATGCTGAAGGAGTCGAAAAGCTTGCTTCTCTAGCGAAAGAGCACGGAAAAAACAATGTTGCTTTCCTCTGTCTCTTTATGCTTGGTAAATTGGAAGATTGCATACAATTGCTTGTAGACAGGTGAGTCTTTTCTGCTGTGATGAACTAATTGCCATGCACTTCAGTTTAAAGCTAAACTACATCTTATGTACTCCGCAGCAATCGTATACCTGAAGCTGCATTAATGGCACGTTCTTATCTTCCCAGCAAAGTTTCAGAGATTGTAGCAATTTGGAGAAAAGACCTCAGCAAAGTAAAATTTTGATCTTATGCTCTCTTGCTGAGAAGTCTGTTTAAAGTACGAAAGTGTATTCAAGTGTTGTTGGCCTCGGCTTCTGTTCATTTGTTCCTTCTTTGCAGGTTAATCCAAAAGCTGCAGATTCTCTGGCAGATCCTGCTGAGTATCCAAATTTATTTGAGGACTGGCAGGTTGCACTTACTGTAGAACAGAATGTTGCTTCCCAGAGGTAAAAATTGCTGCATATTGTTTTTTTCCTTGTAGTGTAATAATATCAAATGTTAGCTTCTACTCCCTCCGTTCCTAAATATAAGTCTTTGGAGAGATTCCACTGTGGACCACATACAGAGCAAAATGAGTGAATCGTAAATATAAGTCTTTGGAGAGATTCCACTATGGACCACACACGGAGCAAAATGAGTGAATCTACACTAAAAATGCATCTATATACATCCGTATGTGGTCTATAGTGGAATCTCTACAAACACTTATAATGGAATCTCTACAAAAACTTATAGTGGAATCCGTATGAGTATTTAGGAACGGAGGGAGAATTGCATTGGACATCTCATAATTTTCCTATTTAAAAAATCGTGTCCATCTCATAATTTTGAAGTAGGCAAATCTTTTGCAATAACATGTCTTTTATGTGCAGGGGGCACTATCCTTCTGCAGATGAGTACTTGAACCATGCTGAGAAGTCAGACACTACTCTTGTGGAAGCTTTCAAAAGGATGCAGGTCATTGAAGAAGAGGAACCAGTGGAAGCACTGGATGAAAATGGAGAGCCTGATGAAGAGGTATTGCATTTGCAGTATGCCTCTTGTTCTTGTTCAACTTATATTCTGTGGTGCTTTTAGGAAACTTATTATATGTCTTGATCACCATGGCATTGTTCTATTTGATTATTATTATTGCAATGCTATTTTATTAATTTCTGAAATAATAAAACAAATTTCCTCTTAGGTAATGGAAACGGAGGAGAACGTGGATGAAGCTGTCCAAGTTGATACGGATCAACCAGAAGAAACCGTTCTTGTAAATGGGAATGAGGGTGAGGAACAGTGGGGTACGAACAATGAAGGAACTTCGCCAGCCTAAAAGAATTGTTTGGCAAATGTAAAAATCCAAATTTTGTCTATGGTGATTCACTGGCTTTGCCTGCAAATTCTAGGATAGCCGAATCCTTCTAGAGCTGCTTACTTTTGGAAACAAATCCAGTTACCACAATATACACCATTGCTATTTATTAGGAGGTTTCATACATATATACTCCAACCCTACCTGAATTTAATCTCATGTTTCCTTGCAGTGCTAACCCAACATGATGAGTAGGCGCCAAGGGAACCACAGCTCAATGGTTAAACCTGCTGTTTTTCCGAGGGTAAACAATTGCAATCCCAACTTTATAATGGAACTTCGGAATGGGTTGATGCTTAGTAACCAATGAGCCACTTATTGCTTCTTGGCCAAATCCCACAAAATGAAATCCAAACTCTACAGTGGAAGGCTACTCTAATGGGGTCAATCTTGGCAGGCTGTCTTGCAGCAACATAGGCAATTCTTTGGTCTTGTACGGCACATTTTCGTACCCAATTTTTCATGTACTAAAATCGATGGGTTGGGTGCAGAGTTGGTTGTTGATGGAGAGCTTTCCAATAAATCGTTATACAGATGTGTAGTATATGTGATATTACAATAGCCATAACAACCTTGTAGATGAAAATTTTCTATAGCCAATCACTGTGTGTTACCATTCCATACATGTAGCGTTAATGATTGTGGCGCGAAAGGCTTGCCAGTGTATTCTTCCATAAGGCTTTGCTTGTTTGTGAATGCAGTATCCTGTTCCAGTTGCATGCTTTTCCCAGAATTCAAAGCTAATAGTGTCTGCTGCTGTTGGCTGAAAGCTCATTCTTGTTCTTTCGTCAGTTTAGACGGCACATGCTGGAACCTCTCTTCTTTAGAGAATTTCTCCTTTATCTCAGGGCCATCTGGCCATGGCTGGAGTAGCAGTGTGGGAAGTGCAAATCTTCTCCTTCATTCCTTGCCGTTGTGCATGTCGGATCTACCGACCGGCAAAGTGCATTGCGAGCGAAAAAGCTAATGAATATCGGATTCGGTGTGCTTTCTCTGATTAGTGATGGTGGTTGTCCACTCCCAAGTTCCAACCCCAAAGCGTCCAAGCGACTGGTTGTAGATTTGTTTCACAAGAGCTTCACGCAACAGAGACGATGTCGTTGTGCATGGCTCATCCAATGGTCCAATCATTTCCTATTTTATTGGCAAACGGAGAATTTGAGCCAATTTCACCTTACCCTAGACTACTTGCGACACGCGCGCATTCCTCGCCTCCGTCTAATTCTTCCCTCGGGTGTGCATGAGTGCCGTGGTCAACAACATATCTTGTCGTTCTGAAAGGAGGTTGAAAAACGTTGGCGATTTTGCTTGAGAATATGTGCATACGGTCTAGGTATAGTCGTAGGGCCTTGAGTTTCCGACCAAAGTACTTCATAAGATTCGACCAAGTTTATAGGAAAGAATATAAATATTTACGGTAACAAATCTATATAATGTGAAAGTACGTTCAATAATGAATCTAATGGTATTGATTTATAATTGTACATGTTAATATTTTTATTTATAAATTTTGTCAAAGTTTATAAAGGTTGACTTTGACCAAAGCTAATATACGGAGTAAATAAAAACGGAGGGAGTATACCACAATTATGGCGCTTCTTAGCGACAAGTTCAAGTGCGCCATCGTCAGCAAATGTGATTCAATTGCCAAGAAAAAGAGACTAACCCGGGGCTAACCCTCCTATTTTAGGTAGATCATATAACGTGTACGTAGATCATATAAAAAATTGTAGGTAGATGCACATAGTATGTTTTCATTAAGAGTTAATTCCAGTTTTTACCTCCTATTTTGGCATTCTTAATGCGAGTTACTCCATTTAACAGTTTTTCTTCTAGATTACCCATTTAGCAATAGGTTTGCTAGTTTTTACCTCATCTAGCGATCTATCAGGTCCGTCCCGGTCATGAGGTACACGTGGTATGATTCGTCCCAATTTTTCTCTTGATGTTTTCCCCCAAGTCCTAGCTGGTCGAATGGCTTAGTCAGACATGGTTTTTCTTTCTCAGGGTCATCAACTGTACATACTCGCCTCTTCGCCTTGATGAGTTTCTTCTTCAGGTCGCGCAACTCCTTGTTCATTGCTTCCACCTCATTCTTCTTCACCGTATTTGCTTCCTGGTGTTGGATCGTGCTAGACATAACTCCATGCACGTTTTGTCAAGAAAAATAATTACTAGAGGAGCTATCTACAACCTAAATTACTTTAAATGGTGTAAAGACTAGTAAAACTTTGCTAAATGGGGTAATCCGGATGATAGGTTGCTAAATGAGGTAATCAGCGTAAAAAATATTGAAGTAGGAGAAAAAACTGGAAATCATTATTTTTTTAACCGGGCTACCACCATTTCTATTAGTTTCTCAATGAAAACATCTACTTTTACATGAAAGGAAATGAGAAAGGAACAAAGTCAGTTCACAAACCCAATGTATGTGCGTGCTCATGATCCTATGCCTTATCAACATTTTGGGCCAGAGTGAACCAATAATATACTTTTCATATTAGTTTTGGTCTAAGATGAGTTTTTATTTATTTTTGCTATGATATATGGGCTATTGAAACGAAAATATCTCAGGGTGGTTTCTAGATCACCCGTCCACCCTGCTCGATACACCAATGCAGCAATCAACATAAATATACTACGGGGTGAAAACATAACAACAGAAAAGCCTACTACTTATTCCAATTAGCAACAATAGAGTAACAAGCATAGTAGACATCAACGACTGTTGGGGAACGTAGCAGAAATTCAAAATTTTCCTACGTGTCACCAAGATCTATCTATGGAGAAACCAGCTACGAGTAGAAGGAGAGTGCATCTACATACCCTTGTAGATCGCTAAGCGGAAGCGTTCAAGTGAACGGGGTTGATGGAGTCGTACTCGTCGTGATTCAGATCACCGATGATCCTAGTGCCGAACGGACGGCACCTCCGCGTTCAACACACGTACAGCTCGACGATGTCTCCCACACCTTGATCCAGCAAGGAGAGAGGGAGAGGTTGAGGAAGACTCCATCCAGCAGCAGCACAACGGCGTGGTGGTGATGGAGGAGCGTGGCAATCCTGCAGGGCTTCGCCAAGCACCTACGGGAGAGGAGGAGGTGTCACGGGAGGGAGGGAGGCGCCAAGGGCTCAGGTATGGATGCCCTCCCTCCCCTCCACTATATATAGGGGCAGGGGAGAGGGGGGAGGCGCAGCCTTGCCCCTTCCTCCAAGGAAGGGGTGCGTCTAAGAGGGGGGAGGAGTCCATCCTCCCCAAGGCACCTCGGAGGTGCCTTCCCCCTTTAGGACTCTCCCCTTTTTCCTATATCTTGGCGCATGGGCCTCTAGGGGCTGGTGCCCTTGGCCCATGTAGGCCAAGGCGCACCCCCTACAGCCCATGTGGCCCACCGGGGCAGGTGGCCCCACCCGGTGGGCCCCCGGGACCCTTCCGGTGGTCCCGGTACAATACTGATGACCCCGAAACTTGTCCCGATGGCCGAAACAGGACTTCCTATATATAAATCTTTACCTCCGGACCATTCCGGAACTCCTTGTGACGTCCGGGATCTCATCCGGGACTCCGAACAACATTCAGTAACCACATACAAGCTTCCTTTATAACCCTAGCGTCATCGAACCTTAAGTGTGTAGACCGTACGGGTTCGGGAGACATGCAGACATGACCGAGACGTTCTCCGGTCAATAACCAACAGCGGGATCTGGATACCCATGTTGGCTCCCACATGTTCCACGATGATCTCATCGGATGAACCACGATGTCAAGAACTCAATCGATCCCGTATACAATTCCCTTTGTCTAGCGGTATTTTACTTGCCCGAGATTCGATCGTCGGTATACCGATACCTTGTTCAATCTCGTTACCGGCAAGTCACTTTACTCGTTCCGTAACACATCATCCCGTGATCAACTCCTTGGTCACATTGCGCATATGATGATGTCCTACCGAGTGGGCCCAGAGATACCTCTCCGTTTACACGGAGTGACAAATCCCAGTCTCGATTCGTGCCAACCCAACAGACACTTTCGGAGATACCTGTAATGCACCTTTATAGCCACCCAGTTACGTTGTGACGTTTGATACACCCAAAGCATTCCTATGGTATCCGGGAGTTGCACAATCTCATGGTCCAAGGAAAAGATACTTGACATTAGAAAAGCTTTAGCATACGAACTACACGATCTTTGTGCTAGGCTTAGGATTGGGTCTTGTCCATCACATCATTCTCCTAATGATGTGATCCCGTTATCAACGACATCCAATGTCCATAGCCAGGAAACCATGACTATCTGTTGATCACAACGAGCTAGTCAACTAGAGGCTCACTAGGGACATATTGTGGTCTATGTATTCACACGTGTATTACGATTTCCGGATAATACAGTTATAGCATGAATAAAAGACTATTATCATGAACAAAGAAATATAATAATAACTTATTTATTATTGCCTCTAGGGCATATTTCCAACAGTCTCCCACTTGCACTAGAGTCAATAATCCAGTTCACATCGCCATGTTCACAGGTCACATCGCCATGTGACTAATACCCTAGAGTCAGTAGTCTAGTTCACATCACTATGTGATTAACACTCAATGAGTTTTATGTTTGATCATGTTGCTTGTGAGAGAGGTTTTAGTCAACGGGTCTGAACCTTTCAGATCCGTGTGTGCTTTACAAATCTCTATGTCATCTCCTAGATGCAGCTACCACGCTCTATTTGGAGCTATTCCAAATAACTGTTCTACTTGGAGCTATTCTAAATTATTGCTCCATTATATGTATCCGGTCTCTCTACTCAGAGCTATCCGGATAGGTGTCAAGCTTGCATCGACATAACCCTTTACGACGAAATCTTTTACCACCTCCATAATCGAGAAAATTCCTTAGTCCACTAGTTACTAAGGATAACTTTGACCGCTGTCCCGTGAGCCATTCTTGGATCACTCTTGTACCCCTTGACTGACTCATGGCAAGGCACACTTCAGGTGCGGTACACAGCATAGCATACTGAAGAGCCTACGTCTTAAGCATAGTGGACGACCTTCGTCCTTTCTCTCTATTCTGCCGTGGTCGAGCTTTAAGTCTTAACTTCGTACCTTACAACTCAGGCAAGAACTCCTTCTTTGACTGGTCCATCTTGAACACCTTCAAGATCATGTCAAGGTATGTGCTCATTTGAAAGTA